AGTATTCAAAGGGGGAGGAAATAGTGGAATGCAGGATGAGCAAAACAACCCCCCCTTCTAAGCCCCTTCTTGAGATAAGGCATGCAAAAGGAATTTGGGAAGGAATCCCTCATTCTAATCTATCTAGGCTAACTGCTCATTGAGGTCTGGAGACTTGTGCAGTCAGCGATGAAACCCAACAGATATACCTGAGGTCATGTAAAATGGAATGGAAAAGGTTTAAGAAGTCCTGCACTAGAAAATATAGTGGTGTGGTTTTTAATCCTATGAATTTGAATGGTGTAGTACCAATAAACCTTTTCTTTTATACTTCTTGGGATTCCATCTAAGCATCTTTTTTTGCACATTCATTTCCTCCTTGGTTCCATCAGAACTGTTGATAAAGCTCTTTTCTTGTTAAACTTATCCTTGAAGACTTCGGGGAAGATGTTAGTCGAAATGGCTTCAAACTATAGGAAAGGAGTTTCCACCTGAACATTAGGAAGAACTTCCTGACTATGAGAGCTGTTCAGCAGTGGAACTCTCTGCCCCGGAGTGTGGTCGAGGCTCCTCCTTTGGAGGCTTTTAAGCAGAGCCTGGATGGCCATCTGTCAGGGGTGCTTTGAATGCAATTTTCCTTCTCGACAGGGGGTTGAACTGGATGGCCCATGAAGTCTCTTCCAACTCGATGATTCTATGGTTCTATAAAAATGCAGCATGGTGTAGTGAGGGGAATCTGACGAAATATCTATTCTTACCATAGGGCAGGGGTGAGGATTGTCTGTCCCCCAGGCTGTATAAGGATTACAAGGTCATTTGATCTGGCTCTGTGGCATCCACTACAGTGCAGTGGAGATGCAGTTAGAGTGGGTTGGGGGACTGTTCCAGATGGAGGACCCGTAACCCGGATAGACTCCCCATGGCCCAGACACCCCTTTGCCTGCCCCTCCCTGCCTGGCAGCCATATTCCACTTCTGCCCTTCTGCCTGGGTTGCAACACCACCTGAGAAGTTGCCAAGGCTTCCTAGCCCACAATTGCTGTTCAGGTCTGCCCATGTGCCCCCCTGCTCCCAAGGGTCAAGTGTGGCTTCCTTCCCTGGGCTTCTCTCTCTTCCAACTTCCCTGGACCCTCCCCTTCCTCTGATTTTGTATGGGTCATGAATGATGCTGAAAATATCCTAATGACTCAGGGCAGAAAAAAATGTTCTCCAACCCTTCCATAGGACACCAGGAAGCAATATGTGGGGGTTAGGAGTTGTTGTTGTTGTTCATTCGTTCAGTCGTCTCCGACTCTTCGTGACCTCATGGACCAGCCCACGCCAGAGCTCCCTGTCGGCTGTCACCACCCCCAGCTCCTTCAAGGTCAGTCCCGTCACTTCAAGGATGCCATCCATCCATCTTGCCCTTGGTCGGCCCCTCTTCCTTTTGCCTTCCACTTTCCCCAGCATAATTGTCTTCTCTAGGCTTTGCTGTCTCCTCATGATGTGGCCAAAGTACTTCAACTTTGTCTCTAGTATCCTTCCCTCCAGTGAGCAGTCGGGCTTTATTTCCTGGAGGATGGACTGGTTAGATCTTCTCGCAGTCCAAGGCACTCTCAGAACTTTCCTCCAACACCACAGCTCAAAAGCATCGATCTTCCTTCGCTCAGCCTTCCCTAAGGTCCAGCTCTCACATCCGTAGGTTACTACAGGGAATACCATGGCTTTGACTAGGCGGATCTTTGTTGCCAGTCTGATGTCTCTACTCTTTACTATTTTATCGAGACTGGACATTGCTCTTCTCCCAAGAAGTAAGCGTCTTCTGATTTCCTGGCCACAGTCTGCGTCTGCAGTAATCTTTGCACCTAGAAATACAAAGTCTGTCACGGCCTCCACATTTTCTCCCTCTATTTTCCAGTTGTCAATCATTCTTGTTGCCATAATCTTGGTTTTTTTGATGTTTAGCTGCAACCCAGCTTTTGCGCTTTCTTCTTTCACCTTGGTTAGAAGGCTCCTCAGCTCCTCCTCGCTTTTGGCCATCAGAGTGGTGTCATCTGCATATCTGAGGTTGTTAATGTTTCTTCCAGCAATTTTCACCCCAGCTTGCATTCATCAAGCCCCGCACATCGCATGATGTGTTCTGCATACAAGTTAAAAAGGTTGGGTGAGAGTATGCAGCCTTGCCATACGCCTTTCCAAATCTTGAACCAGTCTGTTGTTCCGTGGTCAGTTCTTACTGTTGCTACTTGGTCCTTGTACAGATTCCTCAGGAGAGAGACAAGGTGGCTTGGTATGCCCATCCCACCAAGAACTTGCCACAATTTATTATGATCCACACAGTCAACGGCTTTAGAATAGTCAATGGCTAGTTGAACTTATCCTCTGCTCCTCCCCAGTAGCATTTTGGCCATCTTCCGACCTGGGAGTCCCATCTTCCAATGGCATACCGACATATCTCTGGTTGTATTGGTCCATTTAGTTTTCTTGGCAAGGATACTGGGGTGGTTTGCCGTTGCCTTCCCCAGGGATCACGCTTGGTCTGACCTCTCTGCCATGACCGTCCCGTCTTGGGTGGCCCTTCACGGTTTCGCTCATGACATCATTGAGGTGCTCAAGCTCCAGCGCCACAACAAGGCGGTGACCCTTTGCTGGAGGGGTTAGGAGTACTCAGCATTAAACACATGGCATTTTAGTAGATGATATTAAGCTGTTGACATCGCGTGTTCAGCAACTGTGCAAATGCTTGTTGTGAGACCGTCTACCATCATCACCTAGTACCCAATGGTAGGAGCATGATTTTCTCTTCCCCTTTTTAGTTTTGCCAAGCAAACTATCTCTCTGGCTGCCACAGCTTGGTTGTAAAGCAGTGCAAAATGTGTGAGAAAGTTCTCTTGTGCTAAAAGGTTAAATATGTCACTTGTCGAGACACTTCTCTTTCCAATCGCTCTCTTCTTCCATCCATCAATGGCAGATAAGTAACTGATAAAACCAGAATATGAACTACCTTGTTCTTTCAAGTGTTTAGTGGAAAATAAGTTAACTGTTACACTAAGGATGGCACAGTTATGTGTAGAAAAAGCATGATGTTTTGGGGGGGAGAAGACCTGAAAAAGCAGAGGTTGGTTTTTTGGTTTTTGTTTGTTTTGCTTTTAAAGTATAAAATACATTGAAATATAAAATTCTGTAGAATTTTATAAAAAGTGAGGTACCTATTATGTTTTGGGGAACAGTGTCTTATAGCTCCATGTTGTAGAACTTCAAAGCAAGCAGTTTCCTTTAAGGAAAAGAACATCTGGAAATCATATATCAGGTTGGAGTCAGAAATTGAATTGAGTGCCAGTATGTTTCCGGTCTGAGTTCAAGGTGCTAGTAATGACATTTAAAGTCTTAAATGAGTATGAAACATATAGAACATATAAGAACAGGGGCAGGAGCCCAAAACCTCACATGGTAAGCAGCAATGAGTGAGATGGGAACCAGCCTTAAAAGGGGGATTGGGGGAGGGGCTTCATTTGCTTTTTCCCAAATAAACAGCTTACTTCAGAGTAAAAACGATGCGGTTTCAAATTTGGCGTATGAATAGCAAAACAATTTCCATATATTACAAGTTGGTGTGATGTTAGCAGGATGGATCTGGGCCAACTGATGGTGTACACAAGACCTAGGTTGGCATTGTCCCTCTAATTCAGTGGTTCTCAACCTGTGGGTCCTCAGATGTTTTGGCCTTCAACTCTCAAAAATCCTAACAGCTGGTAAAGTGGCTGGGATTTCTGGAAGTTGTAGGCCACAACATCTGGGGGCTCACAGGTTGAGAACCACTGGTCTAATTCTTCCTGCTTTTTTGTTTCAGTAGTAGTAGTAGTAGTAATAATAATAATAATAATAATAATAATTTATTTCTATACTACACTGTCTCCCAGAAGGGACTCCAAAAGGTGTACAGCAAAAGAATTGGCAAACATTCAATGCCTAAAAAACATACATAATAAAGCACTTCAAATAATAAACAATCAAATAGAAAACATCAAAATATACTTAGAAAACAACTCAAAATAGCAGGTGAGAGATTTTAATATACAAAATAAAATGATTGGGACCCGTTTCTCAAATTTTACACACATTTAAAACATAAATAAGTTAACAATAGGCCGTCTGGACAAAGGTCAATTTCCATGAGCTGAGTCAGAATTTAAATAAGGTGCTAATCCTCCTCCCTCCTGTATGCTTGACGACACAAGTAAGTTTTTAACAGCATCTTGAAAGAGGGAAGGGCAGTTTTCAGTTCTTTAGGGAGGGAATTCAGCAATCACTGAGAAGGCACTTTCTCTCGTTCCAACCAACTGTGCTTGAGATGGGGGGTGGGACTGAGAGGAGGGCTTCCTCCACTGAACTCAGCGTTCATGTTGGTTTATATATGGAGATGTGGTCTTTCAAATAGTCTGGGCCCGATTACATGAACGCTAGATTTGGGAAGACCTATCTTTAAAAAAACGGAACCTGCAAAGCCCAGATCACTTAACATCACCTTGTTGCACTTAGAAACAGTGTCCTTTTCATCTTCACCGGATATGGGATATTATTAAGAGAGCCAGCGTGATGTAGTGATTTGAATATTGGACTAGATCCTGGTTGATTTTAGTTCTATTTCCTGCTTCGTCATGAAAACCCACTGAGTGACTTTAGGCAAGTTGCATCCTCTCAACCACAGAGGAAGGCATTAGCAACCCCTTTCAGACCAAGTCTTGCCAAGAAAGCCCCAGGATAAGATTGGCATAAGTCAGAGCCAACTTGAAGGGACATAAAAACAACAGTAGCAAATGTTTATTAACTCCTCAAAGAACAGGGAATGTAAATCCTGTAGAATGCACATCAGTGTTTGGGCAATGTGGTTAGTGCCAGTAACAGGGTTCTCATTATTGCTTAATTATATCCTTGTCATGAGTGAAGTCAGTTGGTTCAATTATATTTGCATTTGTGGCAGTCAAATGCTAAAACGCCTTGTGTGTTGTTGACCTCCCTCCTCCTCTTTTTTTTCTTTTTAAGGTCAAAGAAGTTGGCAGCTCTTGCCGAATGTATGCAGCAAACAGAGCTGACGAAGACCAAATTAGGTTTCGAGCTCAACGAGCTGGAAGCAGCTGCTCTTCTTGTGGAAGAGGAAGAAAAGGAGTTAAAAGCCAGGGGCGCAGGCGGTTATAAGCAGCCGCTGCCTCCCTCCGAAGGAGAGGCGAGTGACTCTGAAGATTCAAGCAGCACTTCATCATGCGAGACAGGAGACTCTGATTCAGAGGAACAAGAGTCCTCAGCCAGCGAAGATGGGGAAATAAATCCTTTACAAAGCACACTCCAAGACGAGAGGACAGCCCCACTTATTGACTGTAATGGATTAAGGCGAGACACAGGCGCTTTGACGTTAGATGTTAGGAATGAGAAATCAAAGCCTCCTTTACAATCTACATCTGTTCCTGGGAAACTGATAGAGGAATTAGGAAACCAAATGCAGACTGCAATTAGGCTTACGGAGGAGCCTGAAGGTTGCTCTCTGGGATGCGACGATGGCAGCAGCACTTTGCAAGAGACAGGGACAAGCCGCACAGCTCCAGGACCTTCTCCGGATCATAATGGAGAGAGACATTTCTTGGAGGTGACTCCAAAAAACAGCGCGCTTCTGCTTCTTGCCACTGCAAACCAAGATTCATAAGCAAAAGTGGATGGAGCAGGCTGTAATGGATGGGTTTTCAGCTCTGGTTGTTATGGTTCATTTAAACATTCAGAGACAAAATAGGATTTTTAAAGAATTTACTCTCCATTTCTCTGTGGGTTCTTAATCTAAAGTCATCGTGAAAGATGGTATTGATTTTCCTGTATTGATTTTCACTTGATCCACCCAGCTAAAATATGAATGCCTTATACATGTCATAGACATTCTTGGGTCCTGCATAAGGAGAAAGACAGGATATAAATCAAATAAATAAAAGGACAACTTCTGTGATTTTGAATTAATGTTGAAAGAGGCTAATTGCGTTAAAATAGTGTGTTAAAACTGGTGAGGGTTGCTGGCTTCTGTGCTGTCAATTGTTTATACAGAGTTTAAATGTAAATGCAGTCTGTTTATACTTTGCAATTTAACTTGGCTCCCAGTTGCCAAAAAGTAGTACAGCTTTGTTTATTTGCTTTTTAACCATATTGAAGTGTCCAGTAAACTTGTAGATTGAAGACATTTGGATTCAATGTTTTTCTTTCCATATTTGTTGCGTGTGTAGCATAATCCATGTCAGTGTAACCTGATCTAGTGTATGACTCCTTCCGTGGGGAGAACAAAGTCTATTCTGCTAACATTTTAATGCAAAGCTACCTAATTTGCACTTCTTAAAGGAGTATGCAAATGAAAAAGGCACCTCTCTAAATTTTGCAATGGTTTCTGTCAGAGTTGTACACAAAAGTGCAGAGATTAGGTCGCATAATATAAAAGGCATTGTATTTGGAGGCATTCCTTGCAGAATATGAAATGAGTATAAATGTTTACACACATTTCCATGTAGTCTTTTAAAATTTGCAAATTGATGCCAAAATGGGGTAGATGGGAAGAACTTACAATGTAAAATGACGGGATCGAACATGGGTCGATGCCGCCATCCTCACTGATAGGTAAGTAAACAGCACTGCATTCATTACTAGTGTTTGTGAAACATGATTTATTTTTGGTTTTTTTTAAAAAAAATATTGGAAATGCGGTAGATAGAATACTTTCTCTTTTAATGAAGAGTTGGCTTCAGGTTGTCATTACTCTACTAATGGCTTGTGGCTGAAATGAAAGAAAAAGATGAAATTTGTAAGGCAGGAAATGTTTGTTAGCTGCAATTTTTCCAGTGGCTCGCAGAAAAAGGCTCCATAATTGAGTGACAGTGCTTAAACTCTTAATGTATCTTTCTGTTCCAGTGTCTAACCTATCTTCACCTTGTTATTTGTCACTTAAGCTCCCTTTGCTAGGACCAGACAAAAGTATGTGCATTTTATATATCTGTGATGACAGAGTATGTTATCTTGTATCCATTCCTCCCTCCCTTTTTAGATGTTTAGTGTGTTTCTTCCAAGGTTGGCAGAGACATAATAAATAATTTCACAAGACCAAAACACATCCTCTTAAGGTGCCTGACTTGTGTCAATTAAAAGTAGAAATAAGATTATACTATATAAATAAATAAATAAATAAATAAATAAATAAATAAATAAATGTGCTCGACCAAAGCATGAATGCCTTAGAAATGCTGCAAAAGGTGAAGAGTCCTGTTCTTCATATTTTCATAATCATAATCATAACAAGTGATTTTCTGATACGAAAGCCAGGATATAGATCTCATTTGCTGTGACATACTGTGTGTTGTGTCAATAACAACAACAACTTTATACTGAAATTGTGGTTGTTCCAGTGTACCTTCCCAGAATAAGGAAAACTCTTAGCTATATGTCCTCAAATGCACTTTAATATTGATTTAGGATTGTCTGCACATCCTCCTCTTTCTTGAAAACCCTATCCTAGTTTACGCTACTTAGTTCATGCCCACCATTATTTTAAATTTTAATTATTACATTTGGCCCGGCCATAGGTTTTTAAATGCTTGTATTTTATTGTTATTGTTACTGTTTATTGTGTATTTTTTGTTTTTGAGTTTTATTTTAATTGTTTTGTATTGATTATTTGTTATTGCCTTCGTTTATTGATGTATTGTGGTCTTGGCCTCATGTAAGCCACACCGAGTCCCTTGGGGAGATGGTAGCGGGGTACAAATAAATTATTATTATTATTATTATTATTATTATTATTATACATGTATGCCGACACCATCTCCCTGAAGGGACTCCGGACAGCTTACACATGGTTCATAGGGAGCAATGTGGTCACAAAGTTAGGCCGGACCCAAACCATTTAGGGCTTTATAGGTAATTACCTGCACTTTGAATTGGGACCGGAAACTTATCGGTAGCCAATGGAGCTGCTGTAGTAGGAACGCCACACGCTCCCTATAGCCAGCTCCACTTAGTAGCCTGGCTGCCGATCTTTGCACCAATCGCAGTTTCAGAACCATCTTCAAAGGCAGCCCCATGTAGAGTGCATTGCAATAGTCCAAGTCAGGCTTTTCATTTAGTGGCTGGCAGCTTGAGAAAATTTGCTTTCCTCTTCTCGAACAACTCTGTTTCTCTCTGAAAAGTGATAAATTCGATTCTAATGAAATCATATTCTTTACTTTATCCAAAGCCTTTCCTTACTACTTTTGAGGGAACAATTTCTACCTCAGTCTGACTTTGTTTCGGCATTTTGGAGTTTAACCTGCCTCCATCCAATGCATCGTTTCTTCCCGTGCTTGGAAATTTTGCTAGCTTGGAAAAAAAGCTTTCTTTTTAAAGTACAAGAAATCACGGAACTATAAAATACTAGGTGACACCTTCTAGTTAAGTCTCTTTTTGTGTGAAGCACAAATTTCCTAATGAAAATGGTATCCTGTGTGGATTGTTTTCCCAAAACAATTAGCAACACTTAATCCTAAATAGTCATGATACATGTCATATCTCAAATAACCAGTGACATGAAGCAAGAGAAGACTGTGATGATATCAGAAGGCACGGCTAAGCATTTTGGGGAAAGGAAGGAGAACTTTTATATCTTACTGGAAATGGAGAAAGAGCTCTTTATAACCCACCAATTATAGTTGCTATGCTGAGATTGTAGCCATGTCACTACCCTGCATCCCTTGACATCTTTGGCCATGATGTTTTGTGCCCAGCATTTTAAGTTTCCTGCTTTCAGATAACTCAAAAATTCCAGTCAACTTTTTTCATTCGTCAAATTAATAAATTGGAGGCTCTAGCTTTGTATGTTGTAATCTAGGGATTCCTAAATTCTGATCCTCCACGTATTTTGAACTTCAACTCCCAGCAGCCTCGGCCACTTTGGCAAAGGTTCAAAGATTCTGAAAACTGAAATCCAGGCAGACTAGAGTTGCGAATCACTGGCGTAGAATCCCTCAAGGCCAACAGCAGGTAGTACAACCAGTTCAAAAGTAGTGGGCACCATTCTAGTGCAGATGTTAGGGGAAATGCTGGCATGGTTACTCACTTTAAGGCAGAGGTTCTCAACTTTGCTAATGTCGTAACTCCTTAACACAGTTCCTCACTTTGTGGTGACCCCCAACCATAAAATTATTTTTGTTCCTATTTCATAACTGTAATTTTTGCTACTGTTATGAATCGCAATATAAATATCTGATATGCAGGATGTATTTTCATTCACTTGACTGAATTTGGCACAAATACCCGATACACCCGACATTGAATGCTGGTGACGCTGGGGGGGGGGGGGGGGGGGGGGTATTTGAGTTGTAGTTGCTGGGATTTATAGTCCACCTACTGCCACAAATGCAAATATAATTGAACCAACTGATTTCACTCATGACAAGAACTCCCAACAGAAAATACTGAAACGGTTTGGTGGGCATTGACCTTGAGTTTGGGAGTTGTACTTCACTTACATCCAGAGAGCACTGTGGACTCAAACAATGATGGATTTGGACCAAACTTGGCACGAATACTCAATATGCCCATTGGTGGAGCTTGGGGAAAACAGACGTTGACATTTGAGAGTTGTTGTTGCTGGGATTTATAGTTCAGCTACAATCAAAGAGCATTCTGAACTCCAACAACCATAGAATTGGGCCAAACTTCCCGCACAGAACCCCATGACAAACAGAAAATACTGTGTTTCTTGATGGTCTTTGGTGATCCCTCTGACACCCCCTCATGACCCCCCCCCCCCCAGGTTGAGAAATGCTGCTCTAAGGGACAATGCTTAGCTTTAAATTTTGGTTATTGGATTTTTTTTCCAAAACATTTTTCATCTAGGCACCATCTCTTCAAGGACTTTAGTTGTTACACTTCCCCTGTCCCCACATCAGACACCAAACCATGCTTTTATTTTATTTTTTTCATACAAGGTGTTCTATATTTTGCAACACCCTTTCCTGTGTGGTAATGTGTCCACAGTCCTTATCAGCCATGACAGAGCAGGCATGGGGAGTTGTAAGGTAAAGGTAAAGGTAAAGGTTTCTCCTTGACATTAAGTCTAGTCATGTCTGACTCTGGGGGATGGTGCTCATCTCCATTTCTAAGCTGAAGAGCCGGTGTTGTCTGTAGAAACCTCCAAGGTCATGTGGCCAGCATGACTGCATGGAGCGCTGTTACCTTCCTGCAGAAGCAGTACCTATTGATCTACTCACATTTGCATGTTTTTCAAACTACTAAATTGGTAGAGATTGGACCTAACAGCAGGAGCTCACCCCGCTCCCCTGTTTCGAACCATCGACCTTTCAGTCAGCATGTTCAGCTCAGCGGTTTAATCCGCTGTGCCACTTTCTAAGCCAGACACATTACATTGGTGTTCCACTAGTCTTTAATGCAGTAAGCTTCATAGGACGTCATATGTCCTTAACTGAGGCTCCTTGATAATTTTAAAATTTTGTTGAAATGCATTATTACATTCATACTTGTCCTGTAAGGAGCTCAAGATAGTGTTTATATTTCTTTCATTGCCCCATAAACTAGCCTAGGAGGTAGGTTTGAGTGAGAAGGAGCGACTGGTCTCAAGTTCACAAGTAAAAGGAGTGACAAAGTTAACTAGGGCCATTTCAATACCAGTGCAATATTTAATGTGGAGGGAACATTTGTGCTGTTTTAACCTGTTTGTGACTTGTGGAACAGTTCTGGCTTTTTTCACTTGCCAAAGATAGTATTCTGTGTGTCCCACTGCATGCTTGAGAAAATCCTTAAACAACGATGCCTGATTTGGACAGCAAACGGATATAGAGAAGCTTTTCCTTTGCTTGGAATTCTGTCCCACTGAATATCTTTTTATTTTAGGGAAAAAATTGTAATGTATATTAGCCAAATAAAAAAAATGTGTAGAGTCTCTCACTCATACGTAGTTGATAGTCAAGCTTGTAGAACAGCTGGTTCACATAGCTAGTTTGCATAACCATTTGATCCATTTCAAAATGAAAATAGTGTAAAGAATGGATAGGCCCCCATCTCCCCAAAAAACAGATCAAACAATTCAGTCTTTCCCACAAGACAGCATTCCCTGTTGCTCCATGTCGGAGCGGAGCTATGCAAACAAAATGTTATCATCTTCGCACCTGGTTATCAAAACATTACAACAAGTTCCTCCAG